AACTAGGTCCGTTCCATTTATTCCGCCAAACAGAATTATAACATCGCCCGTTATTTCCCCTAACTTCAGTCCCGGTAGAGAGCCGCGAGGATTACCATTGGCTCAGACGCCAACCACCTCAAGTTTACCCCTAACCAGCCCTCTCACCCGTCTTCCGGTGATACAGCCATTTGAAGCCCACAAGGAACTACCAAGCCCAGCTATTAGCGTCAGTCCTATAGGCTTAGAAAAGCATGTGGCGCACCAGTCACCGGTATGTGAAAGTCCAAAGAACCTCAGCATAAATACAACAGTGATCACGACAGCTTCAACGCAACCAACACATCCGGTTCTGATTCAGCAACAACATCATCACTGCTTAGATGAGGTTGATGGTGCTGATCTATATCCTTCAGAATCAGAAGATGAGGGAGAAGCACTGGACTACTCAAACAAGGATAATCCAGGCTCTCTCAATGATGGAGACAAGAACAGCAAACAGCACATGCGTAAGTCCAACAACCCAATCAAGCGCCAGTGGACACCATCAGCTAACTTTGGCAGCACATTTGTGGGACCCAATGGCAAGAAGAGAGTCCTCTGTACAGCCTGTAACAAGACCTTCTGTGATAAAGGCGCCCTCAAGATCCACTACAGTGCTGTTCACCTGAAAGAGATGCATAAATGTACAGTTGAAGGTTGTAACATGATGTTCAGTTCCCGGCGTAGCAGGAACAGACACAGTGCCAACCCAAACCCAAAACTGCACATGCCACAGAAAAGAAAAGATGAACTTGACCAGTCTGAAGAAATTGACCTTTCAACAAGCAGTGGATCAGGAACTCCTGCCCCTTCAAGCACTCCAAACATATCCATCCCCACACCATCTCCAGTTGCCATAATCCCCACACAAGCTCTGCCCATCCTTGACTCACCACACATTATTAGACCAGACTCCAGTTTTTTCATTGAAATGTCAGCCCAGTTTCCCTTCCTGTCACCTCCAGAGAAGAGAATTAAACTGGAAGAAGAGCAACCTACAGACCTCAGCAAAATCACGGTGACCAACCTACCTGAAGAGGAACCCTGTGATCTGAGTAAAAAATATGATGATGAATTGAAGTTGGAGATTGATTTAGATGCTCCTGTCAATGAGAAAGAGAGTATAAGAAAAGATGAGGAAGGAGATAATGAGGATAATGGGTTTAGGCATGAAGGAGGCTTCAGAGGAGGAAATCGAAGGAAAAATACTGCACCTACAAAATGTGCCCAGAGTGGCACAGCCAGCGATGACAGTTCACATGACAAAGACCCTAACAGCAGAATAATTGTGTACATGAAGCAGGATGAAGTGCCAGCATGCAATGGAGATTCATCTTTGCAAGAAAATGATGTTGAAAGAGAGCATAGTAACATTCTTGTGCACAGAGTTCTGGAAGTCAAGTCTGCAGAGCTGCAAGATGTTGCATGTTCACTAGCTTTGCAGGAGAAAAGACTAGAGGGAACAGAAGCAAGAAACTTTCCAAAAATAGCATCTCTTCTCTGGGCTAATGGTCTGACCAGTTCAAACATATCTGACAAAGTGAATGATGATGATGCCTCCCATGAAGTTGATGACAGTTTTGCAAGAGATGAAGAAAGTATTCAAGATGATGAACCAGATATTGATGGTGATGAAGTGTCTGGAATAGAAAGCTCAGAAGATAATGAGTCACTGTCCTCAACTGAGATGCAAGATTATCCAGCGGATGTTTATATGGATAGCAAGAATCCACTAAAATGTAAAATTTGTGGCAAAGTATTCCAAAACAGTTTTACAGTGAAAATCCACTTTCAGAATGTTCACCTGAAAGTCATGCATTCTTGTACAGTAGATGGTTGCTCGTCAACATTTCCATCCAAACGGAGTCGTGATCGTCATAGTGCTAACCTCAATCTTCATCGTCGCATCCTTGCGGGAGACAGCAGTGCTAACAAAGAAGTGGATGACACACTTCGAGGGGATTTCCTGGCTAAGCTCTATGGACATGATTTGATTACTGCTAATGTAATCTCAAAGGCTACAGCCAACTTAGAGGACAATGAACATAAGCATATAAATAACAACAACAACAACAACAACGAAGAAATAAAAAACCACGAAGGTCGACCATTTCAGCCCATGAACAACGGAAAATTATCTAATGTGTCTGCCAGCAACTCTTTAAAAATCACAATCCAACATGGCATGCTTGGGCATGTAAGCAAACCTGGCTCAACTGGATCCGAGGCAGTGTCAGATGAAAGCGAAGGAGAGAGTGAAGCTGTCAGATCAGACGAATATCTGAAAATTCCTTGCAAAGTCTGCGGGGATAAGTTCTCTAACCCTGCAGTTCTTCAAGAACATATCAGCATCTCACATCCAGAGCATGCCCTGAGTCCGCCAGATCCATCGATGAAGAAGATGATATCCCCTCGCAGAGCACGCAGCAGACAGAAGACTCAGAGCATCCTGACAGCCAGAAAATCAACAAGCCTCTAGATAACAAAGTATTATCTAAATGTCCTTTCACTTTCTTTTGCTCTCTAGCAGCTGTTAGTGAAAGCAGTATACTGAGATGCCCATATTTTTATAAATGTTGTAAAATATTACGTTGAAATTGAATACCTGTCTTCGTTATAGTTATGTTATCTGATCCTTGGCAGGAAGAGAACATTATAGTTATGTTGTCTCATTTTGTTCAAGAAGCAGACATTCTGGTTATGCATACATAGTTATATGATCTCATCATGTTCAAGGAGAAGGTACTACAAGAAGACAACTGTATCTTCAAGTTTACATGTCATTCCTTAAGATCAGAAATGTGTTAATGCCAGTACTTAGCCAAAATGTTAACAGTTCTGTTAACTGTTAATTAACACAGTGGTTGTTGTAACAGTTCTGTTAACTGTTAATTAACACAGAGGTTGTTGTATTAAAGTAAGTAAAGGACCCCTTTCCACACCTAAAGATGTATTGGACAGATAGCGCTAGACCTTAATTTTACAGTCCAATTTACTTACGAAACTGTTTTCCCCAAATGGAGTATAGGTGCCAAACTTAGAGCTCACTGACTGTAAACTCTGACAGAAAGTCCTGGTTATCATCCACTTCTGGACTTATTCCTGAACTTGAGTTTTGGACATGCATCCATACTATAGACCCACTTTGGTCGACATCAGACTGACCACCTTTACTTCCAAGGGCTTGTACCTGGTACCCATTTAACACTGGGTCGACCTGGGGACCAAGGTGATTTTTGTTGATTAGGACCTGAACACATGACCTTCGGATCCACACATGAGTTTCTAGCCACTACACCAGGGTGACTGGGTAGTTGTATTTATGATGGAATAAGTTTGAATAAGGAAACATGCTTGGAAGTAATAGCAGCCCACGTAATCTTGACCACATTATCTATCGAGGGCCGACTGATCTCTAAAATATTAATCTAACATCATATGTCTGATATGCCACTGACCTACAAGGGGGCTTTACTCTAACTTACTTTTATGGTGGAGTAAGGTACTAATGGTGGTTCTGTGGCCAGCATACTTGCTGCTATCCTTATGTTTCTGTGTTTGTTTTCTTTAATTGATCTGCATTTACATGATCATCTAATCTAGAAGGGGTACCTGGAAATGTTATGTGAACCAAAGGTGACTAATGGGACAGTAACCACGTCACCACATTTTTTTAAATTGGTTTTTTAAAGCATGTGGCCAGTACAATTTCTCCAGTACAACTTCTCTAGGACAATTTCTCCAGTACAACTTCTCTAGTACAATTTAAAGTGTGAAAAATAACTGCTAAAATGTTACTGATGGCAGATTAGATCTTTATCATTTTCTTAGTGGGTCAAATTTAATTTGTAGCAAAAATTATGTCAGTACTTTTGTCGCGGGATAAATGAGTACAGTTCTTCTCTTTCTTATTCTTTTTCCTTATCCCTAAGTCCCTTTCTCCATCCTCTCTCCCTGTCTCTCTCTCTTTTTTCCCTCCCTCTCTCTCACTCTTTCATGGTCTCTTACTTGTTTTCTTTCACACACACTCTCTCTCTAACTCTCTGTCTCTCTCTGTCTCTCTCTCTCACTCTCTGCCTCTCTCCTTCCAAAGCTTTTGCTACATAATTTGTTTTACCTAGAGAAACAATCTTTTTTTTTTTTTTTAGAAAAAAACTGCTAACAAATTACCACAGATGTTCTGTATTAGGGAAGTTTAGAATTCCCCTATCTCTGTTGTACCTACCTTTTGTCCATATCCCAAATACAGAGCTCTTGAGTAAAGATAATTTTATTACTTGATTTCTCCTAAACTCTTTATTTGACTTTAGTTCAAAATGAGTATAGAAGTCATGTCTATCCAAAAAAAAAATAAAGAAGGAAAGGAATTAGTTTCTTTTAAACTGCTAGTGTTGGTGGTACATTATAGTTATGCCATAACATAATCTTTACATTGACAATTCTTCCTTTTTTGTGTGTTTAAAGTAGAGTGTTATATTCCTAGCTACAGAGTAATTATGTGATTCTAAAACTCATCAAGTATTGGAGAAAAGTCAGTATTGCTATCATCAGTATTACAAACTGAGATTACACCAGCCATCTTGGTTAACTTGCCAGTTAACTCAAAAAACTTGTAAATCAAAATGTATCATGTATTTATTGTATAAATTACATCATAGATTTGAAATACTAGAACATAATGTAAATAATGTCATTCATACCTGTAATACATTTTGGGCTGTTCTGGTGAGAATAAACATGACAACAAATAATGACCACTACACAAGCACACTGTAAATAATAAACTGTCAGTGTTTTGTGTCTCTGTGTGTGTGCATGTGTAGAAATATGTATGTATTGTTTATATGTGTGAATCTTTGTGGAAATTTACAAAAATTTTAACTGAGTACTGAAACCGTTTTCTTGAATGTGCTGCATAAACAAAAGCAGTCTTGATTTCATACAGTATTTGGGCTAAAACTTTTCCAAAGTGCAGAAAGACATGTTTAAAATTCAGTATTCCATGTTGTATAGTTTATTATGTCTCACAATTTATGCATTTTTTAAACTGGCTGCATTTAATACATAGCTTCATTGTTATTTCTTTGAATTAGCACTTTTGTGTGATTCATATTCTTTACAAAGCGCAAATTAATTTATTTTATCTTTGTTTTGTTATCAAATGGATTTTGTTGATTCCTTATTGCAATATTCTATGCAAGAATGTGTTCCTTAAAGTTGAATTTAGTTTCCTATCAGTGCTTTAGAATTACTGGACAAGTATTGATTTAGCCTAACAGTATTTGTGTTTGTTTTTTAATCACTATGAGTTTTGAAAAAACATTGTCATGACAAGAATAATGACATCCACTTGTTTTGTAAGCTTGGGATTCATTTACAATCTAACCTTGCTCTGACAAATTTGTCTTGTTATCATCGGATATAAAATGTTTGACTAATATAAACTGAGAGTGAACAAACAAATGAACCGAAAACTTTATTTAAATTTTTTTGTTTAGAGATGACAAATTGGAGTTGCAGACCAAGAAATAAAAAGCGAAAATTTAAACTTTGTTCCATAACTAGGAAATAAAACCAGTTTGTTGTTATCAATGTTTTGATTATTATTATTGGTTTTGGCATTGCTTTCCTTTTGTGGAAAATATGACTACACTAAAACAAAGCTGCCCAGAGGATTAAAAAGAGCCATAAAATTAGATCTTCCTAACTTGGCAGCCATTTACATGAAGGTCACAGAGCTACTAAGAGTCTAGTGGTTTTTGCCATTCTGTTAAACAGAAAAATATAAGAAGCCCCTTTGGTTGAATGTAAAATATTAGGTTTTCACATATTCTAAGCCATAAAATAATCAGGATAGATAGCCAGTTTACTCCCTTATGGCCTTTTCTTTGCAAAAATCTTAACATTTTTAAGTCTTGTTTCATAGAAAGTGAATTTCAGGACAGAATATTAACTTCAGTTTCAGTGAGGATCCAGGTGCATTTACATTAGAACCTGGACATTCTGTCAATATTCTGATGTGGGTAGGTTTACAGTTTGTTGCCAGGGAAAACTTGGTCCACTATTATATTTCAAACCAACACGAAATATTTTCCATGGGTTACATATTCTTTTGAGAAGATTATGCATCTGATTACATATTTTGTGCTCCCGGTTGAGCAAAAAAAAATTTGCATTATTTTTTTTTTTTTTTTAATGCCCTATGGCTGGATTTAAATCCATAACTTTTGAATTAGAGACTGATACCGTTTCGTTATCTGCCATAGAGAAACTTGTTTGCTTTATTTAGCAGGGCAGTGTTTATTAGAGCATTGTCTTCCATTGTAGAACTGAACAGCCTTATAAATCTAATAATCACTTGTGTATTAAATATCACTGTGTACTATTGCCTTGTTACACTTAACAGTATTTTATTATGTCAACCTTATTTTACACATCAGAAAATATGTGGCCTCTAACTTCTTTCATTATCACTATGTAAACAAATACGCAAATGTATTTTATTGTGCATGTAGTTCTTTGCAGATGTATGGATACCTTTTTTGAATATGTTGTAAACTGTTGAAAATATAAGTTAGCAATTATTTTACAATTTCTGAAGCAATGTTTTGTTATCAGTTACAATGCCTTTAGACCTGCAAGAATTATTATTTAATATTTGCAATATTTCGACTTTTTAATCATTTTCACTTACATACATAACTTTTTTATGTCAGCTTATGCAATACTATTTTCTACAATAATTTCATGTTATTTATTCACATTTAATTGTTGTTATTATTATTGCTTATGGAACATCAAAATACCAATATTAATAAAAAGCAACCATGAACTTTACAGCTCAGTTGCAAAGTTTGTTTAGTTTGAAATTCATTAAAATCTTGATTGTATGTTTCCAAGAATTAAAGGATGTTATTATTTTCGTCATTTCATCTTAAAATGGTGGTTGGCATAATGCTTTATGATTTACAGCCAGGCTCTGATTTCTGTCTTCTGACCCATCACGCCTGATTTTATCAAGTCCTTAGACACCTTTTATAACATGCTTTTAGGGGCAATGGGTCTATCTTTCTTCCCCCCCCCCCCCCCCCCCCCCCCCCCCCCCTTTTTCAAACCAAAAGGAGAACTGGAACCTGGACAGGAAAAACAAAAGGGCATAAAATCATTCTTTTTCAGTTTTACACCGGTCTCCTGATGTTTACCTTGATAACAGTTTTTATATTTGTACATTTAGAAAAAACATAATCCATATATGACTTTAAAATCTGTAATCTCTCATTGTAAGTATCTTTTAAAACTGTAATCTCTCATTGTAAGTAACTTTTAAAACTGTATATGTATAGACTTTTTTATGTAAATACTTAATGCTGTACTGCATTAAAAAACAGATTGACATTATTTAGCTGCACTGATTGTCAAAACATACAAATACTCAGTTTATTTCACTTTTAATGTTTCACAGCCTGCAACATATCAGTA